TTTACACTTTGGAAATGTTCCTATTCCACTCATGGTAGCACTGTAGCACTGTCCTCCCATTGTTCATCGATTTGCTCGAGAATAGCTTTACTTTTTATATCTTTGGGAGTATATTAATTTACATGAAGCTCTTCTATTTTGCTTAATAGGTTTATTTGGTTCAGCTCAAAATTTGTGTCACATTGTTGTGTTCACTATATTATGAATTTACTGTGGTCAAGTTAAAACCTGACATCTTAGATTTTATCTAACCTTACTTGAATTCTTTGGCATTTTAACCTTACCAAAATATCATTTAAGTTATTTTGAAGGCTTAGTCTCCTAATTCCAGGCTGACAAATTTGTTGATTTAATATTTAATAAATACTAATTGTTGGAATTGATTTTTTTGTGAATTTACTGATAATATTAAGTATCTTCAAAATTTATGTGTTTATTATATTTTATATTTCTAATATATATTTATTTTTATATTAACTGATATTACTTTAGTGAAAGTCTTTTTTAAGTGAATGGCATACATAAGTTTCTTAATGAAATGCCATCCTTTATGTATTAAATATCTTATATAATTGGATTTCAGTCATACAATGTTCCAGTACCCATCCCTTAACCAGTGTACATTTCCCACCAATTTCTCCAGTTTCCCTCCTACTACCCTCCCCACCTGAAACCTAATCATGAGCAACCTTGTAGCTGTGTATCTCATGGTTATTCGTTCAAAAAATTAATTTTTAAAAAAATTTTAATAGAATAGCACTCTAGCTGCAACTGTCCTCCTGTTGTTCATCAATTTGCTCGAGCAGGCCCAGGAACATCTCCATTGCAAGACTTGTTGTTACTGTGTTTGGCGTATCAAATACGTCACGGGTAGCTTGCCCGGCTTTGCTCTGTGGGTGAGATACTCTCGGTAGCTTGCTGGGCCCTCTAAGAGGGGCAGAGGAATTGAACCTGGGCCGACCAGGTCGGCCGCGTGCAAGGCAAACACCTTACCCACTATGCTATTACTCCAGCCCTTTAATAGAATCACAGTCACGGTCACGGTCACGGTCCTCCCGTTGTTCCTCGATTTGCTCTAGCGGGCCCAGTAACGTCTCCATCGTGAGACTTGTTGTTACTGTGTTTGGCCTATTGAATACATCACGGGTAGCTTGCCAGGCTTTGCCGTGCAGGCGAGATACTCTCGGTAGCTTGCCGGACTCTCCGAGAGGGATGGAAGAATCAAACCTGGCTCAGCCAGGCCGGCTGCGCGAGGCAAATGCCTTACCGCTGTGCTATTGCTCTAGCCCTTAATAGAATAAAGAAAAATATTATAAAATAAGTTAACATGTAAACTTTTCTTAGGTATTTTGTAGAACAAAATCTAAAAAATCTAAGAAACATGTTTCATTACTCTTTTCTAAGTAAAGTGTTTTGTTTTCTCATTCCTTGTAGATACTTCAGTTACTTGAGTAAAGTGGGAGATAAAATGAGATTCGATTTGGCCCTTGCTGCTACTGAAGCCAGGTACTACTGTTACTATTTATGGAGGTGATTTTGGGCAGCAGCATTACATTTCGGGCTGGGAGCGTGACAGGCATAGTAGTGAATGGGCTTCTGGCCTTCCAGGTGTCAGTCATTTCCATTCTTCTCAGGGACTCTCCTACCTGTCCCACTGGTGTTTCCTAAGGGTCCTTTCTAGAAATGTAACAAAACTGATTTTTAGTTTTATGGGAAAATCCTTTTCTCTCTGACTTCAAGATAGATTCCTAAATCAAGATTTAATTCTTGGCTCTTGAATTACTTGTGAAGATAAAGTTGGGAATCTTTTTAGTTGTGTTGGGGCCAAGAGGGGTTTTTCTCATTTAAAAACTTAACAACATAGCTGACAATATTGGTTTATGAGAAAATGAGTTAATTTTGTTAAGATTCCCCATAGATTATTGTGTATGTGTGTGTGTGTATATGTGTGTGTGCGCGCGCGCACGCTTTTTAAGTCACACCCAGCAATGTTCAGGGGTTACTCCTAGCTCTGAACTTAGGAATTATTCCTGGTGGTACTCGGGACCATACGGGATGCTGGGAATCAAACCCTAGTCGGTCACGCACAAGGCAAACGCTCTACCTGCTGTGCTATTGCTCCAGCCCAAGATTCCCCATAGTTATTAACTAATAGTTTATGTAAGGAGAACTGATGCTGAGTTGTTTTTTTTTTAAAAAAATTTATATATATATATGTATATATATAAATATATATATATATAAAATTTATATATATATATATATATGCTAGGTGCATTTACGTTTTTCTGAATCTGAAATATTCTAGGCAGTGCTCTGACTTACTGAGCCAGGCCCAATACCACGTGGCCAGGGCACGCAAACAGGATGAAGAAGAAAGAGAGCTTCGAGCCAAACAAGAGCAGGAGAAAGAACTACTAAGGCAGAAACTTCTTAAAGAACAGGTATTTGTTGTTCTCAATTATACTAGAGTTAAAGAATATATTTTGCATGTATATACTTTACATGTTTTGTTTGAGTTTTCGGGTTTTTTGTTTGTTTGGGCGGGTTTTATTTTCTTGGGGGAAGCACAATAAGATGTGCTCAGGGCTTACTCCTGGCATTACTTGCTTTGTGTATTAGATATAGTACCGGGGTTTGAACCAGGTTGGCAACATGCCAGGCAAGTATCCTACCCACTGTAGTATTTCTTTGGCCTCATGTTTTGTTTTTTAAAGCCCACCAGAGGCTCGATGTGGCTCCAAAACGAAAAATCCATCCAATGATACCCAGGAATTTTTTTTCACCACAGGTTTATTTTGATGGGGTTTTCTTCTACTCTTCTTTCTTCTTAGGAAGAAAAACGTCTCAGAGAAAAGGAAGAGCAAAAGAAACTTTTGGAACAGCGGGCTCAGTATGTGGAGAAAACCAAAAATATTCTTATGTTTACTGGAGAGACCGAAGCAACAAAAGAAAAGAAAAGAGGTGGTGGTGGGCGGGTAAGATACGATTCCTGGGCTGGGGATGGCTCATGGTAATGCACATGCCTCTCGAGTGTGAGGCTCTGGGTTTGATTCCCAGCACCACACACAAACAAAAGGATGGTTCCTACTAATACTAACGATGCCAGTCCTTGTCAGTTTTTTTCAGAAATGAGCATAATAGGAAATTCACTCAGTATTTTAGTTCTTAGCTATGACTTCATTCTTTGCTAAGAGATAAGGTTCCAAACTTAGCTAAATATATCCAGCCTTATACTAATCTTTTAAGTAATTGATCATTAAGTCTTTAAAAGATGGGCCTCTCAATCATCTCTTCCTTGTGACTTGGTAAGATGCTTCATTTGTTAAATGCTTGATAGTCCTCTTTCTATACCTTAGCATTCTAGCCACATTCTGCCTCCCGGGAAAGAACTGATTCTTTTTTTTTTTTTAATTTCTTTTATTAGTGAAACACCATGAGGTACAGTTGTAGATTTACAAATTTTTGTGCTTGGGTTTAGATTATACAATGATCAAGTACCCATCCCTCCACCAGTGCCCATTTTCCACCACCATGGATCCCAGTATCCCTCCCACACCCATCCCCCCCATCCCACCCTGCTACTGTGGCAGAGCATTTCCTTTTGTTCTTTCTTTCCTTTTGGGTGTTTTGGTCTGCAAAAGAGGCATTGAGTGGCAATCATGTTCAATCCATAGTCTACTTTCAACATGCATCTCCCCTCCTGGGAGGATCCTCCAAACACTCTTTATTTGGTGCTCCCTTCTCTATCTGAGCTACCCTTTTCCCTAGAATGCCCGGCTGGCCTCTAAGCTATGGAGTAATCCTCCTGGTACTGATCTCGGCTATTCTTGGGTATTAATCTCCTATTTTGTTACTTTATGTTCCCCAGATGAATGCAATCTTTCTTTGTCTATCCCTCTCTTTCTGACTCATTTCGCTTAGCATGATACTTTCCATGTAGTACCACTTGTATGTAAATTTCATGACTTCATCTTTTCTAACAGCTACATAGTACTCCATTGTGTAGATGTACCAAAGCTTCTTTAACCAGTCATCTGTTCTTGGGCACTCAGGTTTTTTCCAGATTCTGGCTATTGTAAAGAGTGCTGCAATGAACAAACAAGTGCAGATATCACTTCGACTATACATTTTTGCCTCTCTGGGATATATTCCCAGGAGTGGTATTGCTGGGTCAAATGGGAGCTCAATTTCTAGTTTTTTGAGAATCGTCCATACTGTTTTCCAAAAGGGCTGAACTAGTCGGCATTCCCACCAGCGGTGAAGGAGGGTCCCTTTCTCGCCACATCCACGCCAGCATCGGTTGCTTTTGTTCTTTTGGATGTGGGCCAGTCTCTGAGGTGTGAGATGGTATCTCATTGTGGTTTTGATCTGAAAAGAACTGATTCTAATGTTGTTTGGATTTCAGCGTTCCAAGAAGGGAGGAGAGTTTGATGAATTTGTCAATGATGATACTGATGATGACATGCCTATATCCAAAAAGAAGAAGAGAAGAAAGGGTAGTGGTAGTGAACCAGAAGGTGAAGAAGAGGAGGGTGGTGAGAGAAAGAAGAAAAAGAGGAGAAGGTATTGTCATCAGTATGCTTTCAATAACCTTATAGAAGTGTCAAAAGGCCATTCACCTCTGAATCACTTTCAGTATGTTAGAATACTCTGTGATCACTTGATCTTCTGATACAATGAGACCTTTTGTTCCCCTATTTCTTACTTCTATCCCAAGATGAGCCCCATTACAAAGTCTCCTGAGTACTTGGAATTTTCACAGATCTCCACAGCTTTCCCTCTGCGAGCTATGCATTATTTGTCATTACCTTTCTTATATCTTTAATATTGGAATATTTATGTAATATTTATTGGAAAGTGGTACACTTTAGAGGAAAATGGTTGTGTACACTTCAATGACTGTTAACAGCTTAGGAAGAAGATCCCTGCACCTTTATCCTCTCTGTGAATTGGGGACAGTGCTGGGTTCTGCTGTAGGCAGAAGATGAGGATTTCAGATCCTTTTCCAATTTGTAAGCATGATTAGGTGTTCAGGCATCTGTGTGATTTGTGCCTCCCTGAAATGTTGTTACTCTGTCCACACATCACCCATCTGACATTTAAAACAAACAAACAGAAAAAAAAAACGATGAGAATTTGTCCTCCCAGTGTCATCTGCTGTTAACATCAGTGGTGCTTGCTCAGCTAGCACCAGAAGGTCACTCCCATGGTGCCTCCAGGTACAGGGACCTCCAACTGGCCATCTCACTGTTCTTCCCAAGTTTTGGTTGACTTTGCATGGGATCCAACACAGACTGTGGAAGCTGTGAAAGCAGTGGCAGAAGGCTGGAATGAGTAGTTGGAAAGGAAAAAAAGATCGAAGGAAGATGTTGGGGTCTGAACCCAGGGTCTTACCTCATATCCTTTCCAACAAGTGCAAGATTCAAACTTATCTTAGATCATAAAAGGACTCAACTTTTTTTTCTGCTATTACCTAAAATATATTTTTATTAATTGTGTAGACCTATAGATAAAAGAGGTCGATTATGTTACAGTGTTGGAAAAACATCAGTACTACCATAGCTTTCAGAAACAGTTTGCAAATTCAGCTCAGATAAAATGTTTATAGGTTAGATTTCTTTTTCTACAGTTAAAATCTGAGGCAAGGGCTAGTTGTAGATTAATTAGTAGATACAGCATACAATTTTTGCTAACTCCTGAGCCATGTGTGGTAAGAGTGTGCCCCTCCCTTTGAGGAATTTACAGTGTGGTTGACAACAGTATTAACTCAAGAAGGATATTCCAAATGAGTATTTTATCAGCAAGGTCATCTTAGACTTCATAGACATGAGTGAATATTTGCAAACTCTCTTGTGTTCACTGTTTAAGACCTACAAAAGGAGAAGAAGGGTCTGATGATGATGAAACAGAAAATGGCCCCAAAACGAAAAAGCGCCGTCCTCCGAGATCAGAGAAGAAAAAGGCTGTAAGCTTGAATTTATTTCTTCCCTTTTCCTCACTTTCCTTTGTTGTTTCGATGACAAGGGCTCACACACTGGCCAAGGTACTCACCAAGGGTCACACTTCTGTAGTCGTTGTGCTTGCTAGGATCACAAACTTTAATTATACTCCCACATGTTCTGCTTATAGTGTACACAGGGATTGTACTTCCTGCCTGTGGTGTTCACACATCTTATAGTTGAGGTACTCACCAGAAGTCGCATCCCGTAAGTATTCTTGCTCACAGTACAGCTGGCTACAGTGTGGCTGGGAATTGCTTGAGTGACCTGGGCTCACAGGCAGCAAGGCTGCCAGAATTGTGCTCAGTGCATGTGGCAGCCTTGGTGCTAGGGAAGGTATGATCTTAAATTTGCCATGCAGGTGCTCTAAGCCATTGAAGTACACCAGGTACCTGCTGTAAATGGTTGTTGTTTTTTTTTTTTTTTTTTTTATGTAGGAGTACTGCTATTTATTCAGCCACTGATTAGCTGATTGATTTGGGCATGATCTCCACCTTGCTCTCTTTTTTTTTTTCCCCACAGTTTTATTTATTTATTTATTTATTGAATCACTGTGGGAAAAGTTACTTTTGGTTTTAGGCCACACCTGGCAGTGCTCAAAGGTCTGGGGAAGTAGGGAACTATGCCTGGAATTAAAGCTAGGTTTTGGCACAGAAAACATGTTCTAGCCTGTTAGCTAACTCTCCCTCTGGGCTGAATTTTTCTTTTTGTTTCATCTTTGTATTTGAGCCACACCCAGTGGTGCTCAGAGGCTACTCTCAGCTCCCTGCTCAGGAAATGCTCCCAGCAGTACACAGGGAATCAAGCAGGGCTAGGGGTTAAGCCCAGAACCACTCTGACCCTCTGGACTATCTCTCCAGCCCTTGTGAGATTTTTTATTTTTGGGAGCCGGTGGGCATTTTGGGTCACACCTGGTGCTGCTCACAGGTTACTCCTCTCCTGGCTCTGGAATTACTCCCGGCAGTGCTCGGGGGACCATATGGGATGCCAGGGATCAAACCCAGGTCGGCACATACAAGGCAAATGCCCTGCCCCCTGTGGCCTTCCTTGTGAGGCTTTAATACTTTATCTTTTCTATCTCCCAGGAGGCATAAAAGATTGCAGCTCATAGGTCTGAGTGATAGTACATCTCCTAAGGTATTTGCCTTGCACATGGCCAAGCTAGGTTCAGTCTCCTAATCCTGGTTCAATCTCCAGCATCCCATATGGTCGTTCCCCTCCCACCCCGACTGAGCCCCTTACCCTACCCCCTAGCATCACCAGGAGTGATCCTGAGCACAGAACCAAGAGTAAGTACCACCAGGAGTGATCCTGTGCACAGAACAAGAGTAAGCCCTGAGAACCAGTTTTGAAGCCAGTTGTGACTAAAAAAGAAAAAATAGAAAATGTAACTCATCAGAATACTTTTCTTCCTGCAGTTTTTTCAAGCATAAACTTGTTTTTGAAGTTTATTGGCTACCATTTGATTATACTAATGTAATAGAAAGCAAATTTAATAAGATGTCCTAATATAACAGATTTACAACTCTGTGTATTATGTTTTATATTCTTTCTTTAGCCCAAGCCAGAACGTCTGCCTCCTTCAATGAAAGGAAAAATAAAATCCAAAGCCATAATATCATCAAGTGATGATTCTTCAGATGAAGATAAACTTAAAATTGCTGATGAAGGGTAGGCATTTTACCATTAGTAAATTTTTTATGATGTAATTTGGTAAATTCTTTTTTTATTTGGTTGGAAAAATTTAAAAAGTAGAAAAAATTTAGAGAAAAAACTTAACTTTTTTTCTTTCTTTTTTTTTTTAAAAAAAGGGAAAACCAGACTTTTTAAAATTGGGAGGAAATCAAAAGCTGAGAGTAGTCACTGTACTAAATTATCTTTTCTCCCATTTTTTCATAGAATCCATAGAAGAAACCTCAGCATACATCTTTTTCTAATCTGTGACATTTCTTCCTCTAAGAGGACAATCTTAAAACCTCTTGTTTTCTTGTGTATGGTCCAAAATTTTCTGAATAACACTTTTCTAAATGAAAGGCATCACTTTGCTGCACTATTGTGGTTGAGAATTCTGTCATCCTCATCCTGGCATGTAGATAGAGTCTTCACTGTTTCCTCTCTTGGATGAACAGTCACCTGCCTTTTCTTGTTCAACATTCTAGCTTTATGGCCTATAGGATGGAACAACACTTGCTCTTTCTTTTTTGTTTTGTTTTTTGTTGACGCCCTACCTCTCTGCTTGTGTGACGTTATAGAGCTGGGGATAGAACCTGGGCCTCCTGCATGCAAAGCATATGCTCAGCCCATTGGGCTATCTCCACAACCTTCAGTTTTACTTTTCCTAAATTTGTCCCTCAATCTGAAGGTGCCACCACCAACCACCATTTGGACTGCTAGATAGGACTCTCAAATTCTGCTTCACCAAGGTCTCCTAATGGCCATTATTTCATTCATTTAGTAGACTTTTGGACAGTGTGCATGCAGAGTGCCAGGAGTACAGAAAGAAAATACACAGACTCTATCCTCAATAAATGGTTATGTTTGGGGGCTGGAGTGATAGCACAGCGGGGCACTCAGCTGACCTGGGTTCAATTCCCAGCATCCCATATGGTTCCCTGAGCACCGCCAGGAGTAACTCCTGAGTTCAGAACCAGGAATAACCCCTGAACCTCTGTACATCACCGGATGTGAACCAAAAATCAAAAAAAATAAATTGGGGGGGGGGGGCAGTGGAGAATAAACAGATAAACCTCCCTCAGAAAAATCACATTATAGTTGGATAAGTTGCACTAATGTTTCACATTTTTCACTCTCCTACTCTGGAGTTATGATACTAGGGGTGAGTTGTAAGAAACTTTCTTTTGATAAAGGAAAGGCTGTTTGAGTTGAACTTTAGAAAAACAACTCTGCTGGATTAGAAGTGAGGCAGAGGTGAGAGAGGTTAGCATGTGGAGGGGTGTGAAGATGCTCACTTCTCAGGATAGAAATCTGTATTTATAATCATCTTTAAACAAATATTTTCAGTTCCCTTTTTCTCTGGAGACATTGAGTTCACAAATTTGGATTGCTTTATCCAAAATCACTGTTTGGTCCTTGACCACAGAATTTCTCTTATCTGTTGGTTAGGGTATTTGTGATCAGTGTTTAACAGTGATTTCCAAAGATTGAGCACTGTTCAGAAGTATAGACAGAAAGATCTACTGTGATAGTAGGAAAATAACTAACACCCAAAGACAATAGACACAAAGAGCAGGAGACTTCGTCCTTAGAAAGAAATCTGGAGCAGAAGATGGTATTGGTCAGGAAAGGGACCTCTATGATAATGATAGAGGGAAGTAGTCACTCTGGACCAGGACTAGTTGCTGAAATGAGGTAAAGTGACATGCAGGATACCCTGTAAGTAACAGTGTTGTAAACCATAGTGCCTAAAAGGAGGGAAAGGTAAAAAGAAAAATGTGTTTCCAAAAATGAGAGAGATCGAGAACATTAGTGGAGGGAAGTAGACACAGGTGAAGGGATTGGTGTTAAAAGGATATACCTGAAACAGTTACGAATAACTGTAACCCACAGTGATTCAACTTAATAAGTTACCCCCCAAAAAAGAAAATAAAGGTCTAATATGAGAAGCTGGCCTGCCAAACCTATACCTGAGGTCAAGAGCAAGTTGATTTGAGCTGCTCGGTGACTTAAACTGTCCTGACTGTTGAGAACTGTTTGCTTATTTGGCCAGAGCAAGGGAGTGATTTGGATCTCAGGGTTCCCCCTGGCCTTGCTGAGTTAAATCCCAAATACAGTATCCTCTTCTTAGTTACTCTTCATATTCTCTGAGTGGCCAAAGTACTGGTAGGGGTCCAGATCTTTCACGGTTCATCTGAAAGAGTCTTTGTTCAAAAAGAGAAGACAGTGATACATTTCTCTTCCCTCACCCTTGTAAACTGACCCTGTAGGATACATTGTTCTTCAAGTCAGAGAAGTAGACCCCACTCTTCGAAGCTCTGGGGGTGTGACAGCCAGCAGGAGGTCCTCCTACCCCCTGCTGCCTTTCCTCCAGGTCCTCCATGAGATCAAGATTCCATGGGTGCCACCACCATTTCAGTCATCA